CCCCCACCCTGCATGAGTATGATATCCCTAGGGAATTATTACCCTCCCCTAGGGCAAGGTACTTTCCTCCTAGTGAAATAGTACCCTAGGTAAGGGGGTAAAGATACACGCTTACACCGGTGCACTGGCCACTGGCGCCACGCTATGCGGGCAGTGGTTCCGCCCGCGTCGCCGCCCACCCGTGCACCGGTAACAGTGCAGCAAATAGTATGTGGGGCGTTTTCGCACGGCAGGTGGGTCGGCATCGCGGCGGCGCACTGGAGCACGTCAACGTAATTTGGACCGTTAGTGCGGCCAAGTCAGGCCAAGTAGGAAGTGGCCCGAGGAAGCGCCATTTATGCAGTGTCTGCGCGTCTCGCGGATCGTCTCGCAGTCCATCATCTCGCTCTTCCCCTGTCTCTGTGTGTGTGTGTGTGTGTGTGTGTGTGTGTGTGTGTGTGTGTGTGTGGTGTCTGTCTGTCTGTCTCTCTGTCTGTGTGTGTGTGTGTGTGTGCCGGCGTGCCGGAGGATGCAATGCTCGTGCAGTATTTCACCTTTCCTGAGTGTCTGTGGGCAGGCGGGCGTGGCGGGCGGGGCGTGGCTTAATCTAGACCGGATGTGTCATCAGCGGCGCTCTGACATCGCGCGCGGCCAGGTTTGTGGATCGGATTAATTCGAAAAGACGCGCGCGCGCGCGTGTGCGTGTGTGGTGTGTATGTGAGTGTGTGTGAGTGTGTGCGCGCCCGGGGCCGTTTCTCTGCGTTTCTCCCTTTCTTTCCGCAAAGACCCGGCCGGCCCGGCGGTGGCCCGGCGGACCCGCGGACCGCCACCGAGAAAGCCGAACCATCACCGTCATAAATGCTGTCGGCCGTCCTGCATGGCCCTGTGCGGTGGAGCGGGCCCCAGCGGCCACCCGAAACAAAAACATGAAGACAGGGTAAAAGCTGTTTCGGCCGTACGCGCGGCAATACCGCAAAGTCGTCGTCGTGGACCGGAACGGAGTGGCGGAGGCGGAGGAAGGCCCGCCGCCGTCGACGCGGGAGCGTTTGACGGTCGCCGTCCTTCCCGCAGTGCGACGCGCACCTTGGGGCAGCTCATCGCGGCCTGCGGGCTGATTCCGAGGCGGAGGAGTCTCTCTCGCTCGCATGGGGCGTCTCGCACAGGTGTGAGAGAGACCGACGAGAACCGCCCCTTCGGAATCAGTGCGCAGCGCGTTGTCGCTTGCCTCACTGGCGTCGCGTGCGTGGCCGTGCTGGCCGTGCTGGCCGTACGGGGCTCGTTCCAGTGGACGGTGCGGTCAGTGGCGGTCACTTAGCTGGTGACCCTTATTACTACCGGCGGGCAGTGAAAGCGAAGCAGGCGAAGTGAACGCACCCAGCTGAATGGGTGTGCAGTCTGATGTATCGCCCTGCCCGCGGCCGTCCGTCCACCCGTCGTGCCTGCCCTGCCCTGCCCTGCCCTGCCCTGCCGTGCCCTGCCCTGCCTGCCCTGCCCTGCCCGCCAGACCGGCCGGCCGGGGCCACCACGCGGCCGTCGACGCCGCGCCGGCCGTGGGAACGCCGTGGCGGTAGGCAGACCCGTCGCGCGGCGGAGCAGCGCAGTGTCCTGGTGGCCTACCCTGCCAGGCTGGAGGCTGCCGACCCCAGCCGCTGCACGGTGGGCCAGACGACCGGTGGAGCAGCCAAAATTCTAGACGGGTTTTGAGCTCCAGAGTCCGAACCGAACGTGTGACCCCACCAATGGATAGCTCTCCGAACGAGGAATCCATTGGTGGGGTCACACGTTCGGTTGGTGTCCCATTTAGCGACTCTGGAGCTCAAAACGCGTCTAGAATTTTGGCCGCCTCCACCGGTCTTCTGGCCCACTGTGCGCTGCTGCACTCGCTGCAGCCCCGGCGTGACCCTCGCCGACGACGGGTCGTTTGTCGTTTGTCTGCGGAGCAGCGGTTCCAGTCGTTCCAGTCATCCCCGACGCGCCGATTCCATTTTGTTTTTTCCAGTTGTTTATTCCTTCCTGGCAGGAGGTGCGTCGAGTTGGAAGTTGGGGTCGGCGAGGCGGCGGAGCGGCGAAGCGCGCCGCTTGACGTGTCGGCGCATTCGAAGTCCGCGTTATGGACGTGCACGCCTTGGCGCACGCCGCCAGCCCCGCCAGCCCCGCCAGGCACGAACGGGGCCGCAACGCTCAATACTCAATTCGATTTTATCACCGTTCAAAAAATAAAAAAAGAATAATTCTTTTGCGTACGAAATTGCCGAACTAGTCCGTGCGAAAAGAAAGGACCAGCCTGTCCAGGACAGTCTTCTTCTTTTTCTAAAGAAAACATTCATCAACCAACTTTAATTTATTCTGTCCGTTTTTTTCTTCTTCTCCTTTTTGCGGAAGAGGACATTGGTTGTTCCACACCCCGGGCTGCCTGGGGCCTCCACTTTCCCGCGTCGCGAGGCGCGGCGCGCGGAGGCGCGAGGCACGTCAAGGATGGCACGTCGGGGCTCCGCGACAGGCTGCGCGCCGCCCGCTGATTTCTCTGTGCATCACCTCAACGACTTGGAGTCCTCGGACCGGCGCGCTTCTCGTGGCTTTGATTTGTTTGTTTTTTCACCGCCTCGCGTTTATTTGAAACATTATTATTTTGACGGTTGCCAGTCATTCCGGGCTCGGCTCCTGATTGGTGCAGCCATGCCGGTCCGGCGACCCCCCGCCAATAAAGACCTTCGAATGACACGTGGAGAACCTACCCCAACGCTTTCTCTGCCCCGCGGCGGCGCGTCACACACACACACACACACACACACACACACACACACACCGATGCATACGCGACCTGCCCCTAGTACACACACACACACACACATCGGCATGGGCACATGGTGTTTAGGAAGTTCCAGCAAAATTGTTGCCCAAATTATACTGATCTACTGATCTGGCTACGCGCGCACGCGTTTATATATTTGTGTGTGTGTGTGTGTGTGTGTGTGTGTGTGTGTGTGTGGAAAAGGGGGGGGTGTAGTTGCGCCTGCGTCTACTGCGCGCGCACGCGCGTGTGTGTGTTTGTGTGAGGGAGAGTGAAAGTCCTCCATCTCAGGGAAGCAGTAGTTCCCCTGTTCCCGACCGGCTCAGACCAGCTCCACTCCTGTCAGCGAGACAATATATCAGACGAAATTCACTCATTCAATGTCGTAATCGCGGAAACGACACGCCCCGCCGCCTAGTTCCCCTTGTAGTTCGCCGTGTTTGATATTCGGGGGCATTTTGTCCAGCCTGGAAAGTGAGGGAAGTGAGCCGTTTTTTGACGCTAGTTGACGTGGAGGCCACGTGGAAGCCGTGGAGGGAGGGTCTTGATGCATCTCGCGCGGCTCTGTCGGCCCTATCAGTGGACAGGGATGACCGAGGGTACACTCGACGTAATTCCCTGTCACAAGTGTATTCGCGAATACACGTGACCTATTCCTTGTATTGGGTTTGAATTGGGGGCATTTGTGGGCCTGATACAGTGTAATCACCGTAATACAGCGTATACTGGAGTAGTCTGTACACGATTTCTTGAAGTGTTTACCCCCTCGGGAATGACCGCATGTTATTCGTTGACCTCGAAGTTTTTGAAGAAATCAACCAAATTTTAGTCTCCGACTTGACTTTTTTGACAGTGCTCTGTCGTGCACATCGCTCAGCAGGCCGCGGTGGTGCGCGATGGTGCAGGCATTGCTTCGGGTGGGCGAGCCGCCTGTGTGACAACGGGTGTGACAACCTTGTCACACCCAGACATTGTCCGTTTCCACTGCGCCGCGGCCGCGCGGCGCCTATTAGCGGTGCCGTGGGCTGTGACTGGTCCACTAGTAACGCGACCCAAGTTTCTCTTTGATCGGATCCGATCCCGTCCTACTGGATTGGCAAAATGATATGCTTGGCGGGCGCGGCGCGGGAACGAGTTGTGCCGCTGTCTCGCTGTACTATTACAACCGCGGGGCCCACGCCGCGGCGCGCCGCCACTCCGCGACCATTCTGTGGTGGCGACCAAGCTGGTCAGCCGTCGGAAGTGATCCACTGCCAAAATTAAATTTGTAAATTAAAAAAAGAAACCTGCGAGCGTTGTACTTTTCCACCTTCATTTTTACAGGACAAAACAGTGGTCTGTTCAATTTTTGCCGCATCAAATTCATGTTTGCGATCATGTTTCTTATATATTATCCTCTAATCATCAAACACGTATTTAAAAAACCAATTTTTAAAAAAATGCCATTTTTTACTTTGTACTAAGTACAGTAAACTCCATAAGTACACAGAGATAGTGCGATTACTGTCAGAACGAATGAGCTATTTGGTCGAGTTAGCGAATCACCTGCGCCGACGCGGCGCCGCGGCACCGCCCCAGACGACGCAACGCGACACTAACGGACGCCTTCCTGCGGTTTAGTCTTTCTGCATCAACACCGCCAACAACAACAACAACAACAACAACAACAACATGATTTCCTCTGACATTTCCGGCCGGAGGGTTTCCGTCTGGAATTCCGCCGCTCCGCGTTTCTCTCATTTCTCGGGGGACATTGTGCCTGGCCTGCGCAGCGCAGGGGGATTCCTGTTGTTTTGTCGCGTCGTTCCGTCTCTCTCGCACCCGCCGCGGCGCGCCGGCACGCCCCGCGAGTGCGAGGGAGACCCGAAGCCACCCGCTTCGGAGCGAGGCGGCCGGCCAGTCGGCGATTGGACGTGACTGTGGCTTTAGCGGCGGCCAACGTGGACGGCGTGGACGACGGCGTGGACGTGATGCGACCCGCCGGTGTTTCCATTATTAGGCGACGCGACGCGACCGCCGCCGACGGACTGGGCTAAGGCTGGCCTCTGGGCTGGCCGACCGGCGGCATAGGGAAGGTCTCGGCCTCTCGGCGGCCAGGAGAAGGCGTTGACGAAGGGTCTCGAAGCAAAACAAACTGCCAGCACACTCTAAAAGCCTTATAGTGAAGAACCTTACAGATTTTTAGCAGATGGTAAATTTATGTGCTCAGATGGAAAATAAAAAAATAAAATTATAATTATCTTTGTTGAATTTCTATTGTACAATTATGGAGAAAATCTTCACCGTGATGTGTGATGGCAGCCTTTCACGGCAAGACATTTAGAGTGCGCAAGGCCTTTCGACGAACTTTTTCAACCAGCTCTTTTTACATATTACAAAATACAAAACTGCCACGTTAACGGTGGGCCCTTGTTGACGGAAACGGATGTTGCTATTTTTTTCGCTGCCGCCGCTGCTGCCTCTGCTGCCGCTCTGCCCGGAAGCAGGTCCGAGTCAAATCGGCGACGGAGGCACTAGGCACTCTACTTAGTTGCGCCACGGAATGTTGACACTGCTGTTCGGCGCTCAGGTGAACGCCACGACGAGCAGCCAGGTGGCCAGCGCCGCCAGCCCGATGTAACAGAACAGCTCCGCCCACCATAACCTGGAAACGGTCAACCTGGTCAGTGCATTGTTCTCGATATCGCCCTGTGCGAATTTGAGTTGTCACGTGATGACAGTTTCAAGGCTAATTTTCCTTACAAGGACGTCATCAAAACAATCGATGGCTTTTTTGTCACGCCCATGCACTAAGTATAGGAGCTTTGATGAAAATGTCATCAATTTATGATGAGATTGGCATCATTTGAAAATGTCATCCACGATTTTGTCACAAAGTGATGACAAATTTTCACAGTGTGAGGAAGGCAGCAGGACTCGCGTACCTGTTGAGGCGGCGGCAGTTCCTCTCCACGTCCTCCTTGCCGCCGATGTTCTCGTTGAGGGCGTACTTGGCCACCCCCAGCAGCTGGCTCTTGCTGACCAACATCCAGTCCTGGTTGTCGCCCTCCAGGTTGATGCCGAAGTTGGCCCGGTCCTTGGGGTGCGCCATGGACACCAGCCGCCACATGTTGTCGCTGTTGAACCAGAACTCATGCTGCATGAAGTACTGCAGCGACGTGAAGGCGAACGCGATCTTGCGGTAGATGGGCATGAGCCTGACGGGCAGGGAAGGCATTAGTGGACGAAGACATGCAGATGCGCTGGCCGTCGTCCAGGAACATACATTGGCTTGCGGCCCATCGCCACCAGGATGGTGTCGAGCACGGTGCCGAACACGACGTGGTACAAGAAGACGAGGATGAAGGCCATGAACCTGTTGGTGCACATTCCGTAGCGCGGGTACCGGATGGCTCCCGGGTACCCGACGGTCCCCTCGACGATGTGCCTCCTCAAGACGGTCTGCATCATGAAGGCGGAGGAGGGCTTCACGTCACCGAGGCTGACGTTGACGACTTCGACGTTCCCGCTCGGCACGCTGCGACAAATGTTTGTTTTTGTGTCTGTGTAGCGCAGGAGCGGCTCTAGAATTGTTTTTCGGAGGGGGACTTGTCACACCTTTTGCCTGCCTTCAGGCGGCGTGTGATGGCCCCCCACTACCCCAGCCGCCACCGGTTGGGCGCGCGTTTTCTTTCGGACTTACGGCAGGGGCTGGTTGGTGCCTTTGGCCCAGGAAGCGAGGATGGTGATGTTGGAGACGACATCGACGGGCACCAGGTCGTACTTGAGGAACTTGGTCCTCACGTAGGTGTAGCGCAGCACGCCCTTGCTGGCCACGGCCCAGAACATGGCAAAGCCGTTCAGGTTGTCCATCCAGCCGGGGATGGGGTCGTCCAAGGCACACGTCACTGAAAAAACGGTCGTTGAACGTGTTGGTTCGTTTGTCGTTTCGCCTGTGCGCAGTGTACTCACCTATGGACGGCCGCACGATGACGATGGGCAGGTCGAGGGCCGCCTCGTTCATGACGCGCTCCGACAGCGCCTTGGTGAATACGTATGAGTTGGGCTGGAAGCCCATGAACCTGCAAGCAGTGTAGCGACGTCACGACGACGGCCTGCGGGGAGGCGAAGCGAGGCCTGCACTCGCCATGGCGGTCAATGGCATGCAGGGGCCACCTACTTGTCGCCCAGGAGGTCCAGCGCGTCGGCGTCCGGCAGCTTGGCGTACTTCAAGACGTCCCGCCAGTCGTGGTCCGTGGTGTAGACGCACTCCTGCGTCGGCGTGTGGTTGGTGAAGCAGTAGGCCGTGGAGACGTGGACCACCACCTGCCCGCGGACGCAGCAGTGAGTTTGGCGAATCCGAGTCGATGGCCCGGCCGCGGTCTGCTTACCTTGAGGTTCTTCATCTGGCGCGCCAGCTCCACGATGTCGACGGTGGAGCGCAGGTTCATCCTGACGGCCGTCTTGATGGGGTCCGTGAAGCGCACGGAGGCCGCGCTGTGGATGATGACGGACACGCGCTCCACCAGCGTGCTCCTGTCGTCCGCGCCGATGCCCAGCCCGTCCAGCAGGCAGTCGCCCCGGATCGGCACCACCTTGTCCATGGCGGCGGGGTTCTCTTGGCGCAGGCGGTCGAACAGCTGCATCACCCGGACAACTTTTATTTTCGCGAAACTTTGGTCGATGCCGTTTTCGTTTGGGTTCGTCCACTCACCGGCACGTCCATCATGGCCTTGAGCCGGGCCGCGGGTTCCTGCCCCTTCCTGGGCCTGAGCAGCACGTAGATGTTGCCGATGTCGGGGCACGCCCGCAGCAGCTTCTCCACGACCACCTTGCCGATGAAGCCGGTGGCGCCCGTGATGAAGACATGGCGGCCCTTGTAGAAGTCCTGGATGCGCGGGTAGTCCTCGCCGAGGGTCTTGTCGCGGAGCGCGATGGCGTCGTGCAGCTGCTGGCGCCGGCGTTGCCAGTTCCTCTTGGACTCCTCATCGTCCAGCTCCTCGGCTGTGTGGGGGAGCAGCAGCGTCAGACCAAAATCCGCGCCTCTTTTGCAAACGGCGGTGGTGCTCTCGAAAATGGACGAAATGCTTCGGTCTTACCCTGGATCGTGCAGCGGGTGAAGTCCATGGCGCCGTCCGGCCCTAGGTCCGCTGCCTTCCAACGACCGCCGCAAAGTGCTACACCGTTCTACCTTTGATTTCCTTGTACGGCTAATTCGATGCAGGTGACCCGGGCGGGGGGCAGGGCGGCGGCGTGGCGGTGGCGGGCGGTGGGGGGAGGGGGGGGGGGGGGGCGATCGTCGGGCTGATGCGTCGGTGAGGCCCCGTGCCGGCCGTGCCTCGCCAGGAGTGCAATGACAGCCGGGCCTGGGAAAACTGAGGTAATCGGTTAGAGGACCCGAATCGATTCGTAGGCGAAAATAGGAACCCAGTGACTGCGAGGCGAGCGCGGGCAAAATTCGCGCGATGATAAATACCAAGGGCGTTGCCGTTGCATTACTCGATCGCTGAACGTCTGATGCCTAAGCAGCGATGATGGAAGGGGCACTATGACGCAGGTACCACGTGGCTGTTCCTGCACTGCCCTGCACTTCGTACACTCTGTTTACCTGGCCGGGCCGCATTGCTGCCCGCTAGAGCGGCTTAGAGGGCCGGATGTGTAGGGTGCGGGCGCGAGCAACTGCAAAATGCGTCCCTTTGACGCAGCGCTATGCCGGCTTATGCTGACCTATTTCGTTTGATTTTAACCTCATTTTGATTTTTCGATTCTTATCTCTAATATGTGCTGGAAAGTCGAAATTTGCGCTGCTCTGTAGTTGATAGTCATCCAACCACCCCAGAAGGACAGCGAGTGGAAAGGGGAGGGGGACTCCCCATTAAGTATGCACTGCACGTGTGTGGTATAGACTGTTGTCCTGGCCGCCAAGACGTTTCCCAGACGCCTCCCAGACACCTCCTAGACACCTCCTAGACACCTCCTCGACGCCTCCTGGACACCTCCTAGACACCTCCTAGACACTTCCTAGACACCCTACCTAGAAACACTATCCCAGACCCTATATAGAAGAGTTTCCAGAGACAGCCCAGACACCTCGAGACACTCCTAGACACCTCCTAGACACTTCCTAGACACTTCCTAGACACCCCCAAGACACCCCAAGACACCTCCAAGACACCTAGATTCTTAAATGGGACACCAGCAGCCACCAAGCTTCCTAGGCGTGCTCCAGAGTCGGTGGGGCATCGGGGGCGCCTCGCCTCGCCGGCTCGAATCTCGAATCCCGAAGTGCGGGGCGGCGGCGCGGCGGCGCGGCTGCATGCCCGAGATGATGATCGGCGATAGGCTGCATTTTGCCTCGGCCGCGCTTCGGCCGGCTTCGTTCGTCACTGTATCCCCTTCGGGCTGGGTTCGGCTGCCCGACTCCGGAGAAAGCCAAACGTCCCCGAAACCTTTTCCTAGAGACCTTCACCTTCGGCGGCGAGAGCAGCGAGAGGCCGTTTATGCTTTACAGGCTCATACGACGTCGGAAGGTGAGGAAAAGGGGGAAGGGGCAGGCACTCAGACGTTGAAATTACGTAAACCCGGATCCACCAACTTAGTGACCCAAGATGCCCGTCGTTGAATGAATGAGAGAGAGAGGAGGAAAATGTGTTCATTGTTTTGTTCTTTTTATCAGGGTAGGACGTTTTCTCGGTATGTAAGAGCCTTTTCACTCACACCAGCCCGCCGTCGCGGCCGCGTCGCGTGGTGGGGGTACTTTCTTGGGCCGCGTGGCCGCGGTGCCGCGTGGGGCTGGCGGGTACCTCTCGAAGTACCGTGCGGCCAAGTGCCCACTGCCCACTCATACACACACATGCACTCACACAGAGGCGGGCGTAACGGTACGGTTGCGTCTGCGGCATGCTTCGGGCGTGCTGCTGCAAATGTGCCTTATCCAGTAGTAGTGGTGGCGAGCGGCGTTGTGGTGCACTGTCAGGCCAGTCTATATGCGCGGCGATCTGATCCATTTTTCCTTGGCTTGTTGCAGACATTCCATTGAGACCACCATGATCTTGAGAGCGCGCTGCTAGCGACAAACGTGAGTAACCCTTTGTTCTGATTCGCCGCTGCTATCGGCCCCCGTCGATCCAGCACTGTAGTGCGGCCAGCGCCAGCCCGGCGCTACCCCGCGCCCCGGGTGACACGCTAATGCCGGGGGTAGCGACGGCTCGTTTCTTTCATCACCGACAGTGCCCCGAGTGTGCGGCAGTGTGCAGGCCACGCAAGACAACGCGCCGGCTTTTTCGAACTCTCTCGTGCAGACGCGCCCTGCCTGGCTTTGCCTGGCCGTGCCGGCCGTGCGCGACGGCTTAGCCTCCGTCGACCGGTGTTTAGGGGGGCGTGCGCAGGGCGTGCGGTGTCTCGGCGCGCCACGCCGCCACGCCTCCGCCTCGCAGCGCCGCGCGGTAAATTCAAATCCACGCCGCGGTCGGCGCGGCCGGCGCGGTGCGTCACGACTCCGTTGTTATGTCAGCCGTTCGAAACATCCATTCAAATTTCGGGCCACGTCGGCCGCGTCCACCGCGTCCATGCGCTCGGGGCCGCTGGCGGCGGCGCACAGTGGGACAGAAGCCGGTGGAGGCGGCCAAAACTCTAGACGCGTTTTGAGCTCCAGAGTCGCTAAATGGGACTCGAACCGAACGTGTGACCCCACCAATCGATTGCTCTCCGACCGAGGAATCGATTGGTGGGGTCACACGTCCGGTTCTAGTCCCATTTAGCGACTCTGGAGCTGAAAACGCGTCTAGAGTTTTGGCCGCCCCCACCGGCTTCTGGCCCACTGCGCGGCGGCAGCAGGCACTGCTTCGAGGCGCGGCCGGTACAGTTGCCGCGATCCTAGCAGCGGGCCGTCGTCGTGCTGCCGTGCTGGGCCCCCGCCGGCATCGCAAACACCTGCAAAACACTGCTGCGTTTTCAAAAAGAAACCTCAAGCGTGCTAGTAAAACTACAATCAAGAAATGATTGCAAGTGTAGCTGTTTGCTCGTTTTCGTCGATTTCTTTCCTTGATTTCCGCGGCGATTACAGATGACAGTGGGCCGCCGCCGTAAACCAGCGGCATCCTCCCGCGCACAATTTCGGCCCATTTCGGCCGCCGGCGTCGTTCGTCGCGGTCCTTCGCCTTCGCCCCCCTGTTTCTTTTATTTATTTTTTGTGACGCCGTTTCGGAGGATGTCTCTTTGATGGTGACGCAATGGAGGCTTTGCGCCACGCCGCGCCGCGCCGGGGATGCAATCAGTCGATCGGCGGCGCGGGCGGCGCCGGGAAGGGCGTCGTCGCGCACCTTCGCAGCAACCAGATCGGCCGCATCGTCCGTTCGGACTTCGCCCACGCGGAATCAAAGGAAGTCATTGGCACACACACACACACACACCACACACACACACACACACACACACACACACACACACACACACACACACACACACACACCAGAGCCATGTATGCAAACGCGCGGAGCGGCGCAGAGGCAGTGACTTCGCCGAGACTGCGGTGACGCTCGGTGGGTGGGCGTGGGCGCGATTTTTATCTCACGCGCGCGCGCATCATCCGCGTGGCTGTGTTCCTACGGTGTCGCTGCAATGTTGTTGTTGTTGTTGCAGGGAGTGCCATGGGGAGCACGCGCTGCCGCCACTTCGTGCAGAACGCGTGGAAGAAGGACCTCTGCTCGAACTGCTTCAAGGGGCGGGACGAGCATGCCGCCCCGGTGCGCCTCGTCCCGCGCACCATCGTGCCGCCGCCCGCGCCCACGCAGGTGCGTCTAGTTCGCCTCACTCCTTTTGTCTCCTGCCATTCACTCGAAGGACCCGGCTCAAAGCGCGCCTTCTGTGTCGACAGGGCATCCTCAAGGGGCAGAAGTGGACGCGCAGCAAGACGCACCGCGTCTACTTCCCCGCCGAGGAGTGCGAGGTGATCGGCGAGGGCGGCGAGGACGCGGGGCCGCCGTCGGACGACGACAGCGACGACCAGGATGACGCCGACTGGGGCAAGCCCGTCGTGGAGGACGACCCCCAGGAGCAGGAGCAGGCGCGGGTAAGGCGATGGCGTGCACGGCGTGGCGACGCAGGCCCTGCAGGCCCTGCAGGCTGGGCCGTGTACCGCGGCACCGTGAGGGGAGGGGAGAGAGGGGCAGCCTGGCAGCGCAGCGCGCAGCGAGCAAGGCGATGATGCAAAGGCCGAAAGGCAAACGTGACTGCAAATAGAGTCATTGAGTTATTCAGGCGAAGAGGCAGCCCGCGGAGGCACGGTGCCTCGCTTCGGCTTAGCCTCGGCGGCACGGCGGCATGGGTGGACTCGGATTAGGTCACCGGCATTCGCTAGCATTCGCTCGCATTCGCCCCCCGCCGGCCTGCCGAGGCCCGCCGCGCTGCCGCACCATTACGAGGCCGCGGCTTCGGCAGTTGACTGATTCCACGCACAGTGTGCCGCACGCCGTTGTCGCTCTGTCTCTCTCGCACGCGTGGGGCGTTCCGAAGGAGTGCGAGAGGGACGCGGCGACAACAGCACTGCTCGGAATGAGCCCACAGCTTTAGCCTCCCCGGCCGCGCCTTGAGCGCGTAGCGGCGAGGAGAAAGCACAGTCAAGTGGTGAAAAGGGGTGGGCCGAACGGCCGAACGCACACTGTACAGAGCGAGTGTGACGCCCGTTCTTGGGACTCCTCGAACGCTTCGACACCGCCAACGCGCTTTCTGACGGCGTGCCTCTGTTGTACAGCTGTTGCAGGCGCTCACGCGCTCCAACACGGACTTCAACTCGGTCGCCGCCAACCTGGAGGGCACCGCGCCGTCCCCGCCCGCCGCCGCCAAGACGTCCTCGGGGTCCACGGCGTCCAGCAAGCAGCAGCGCGCACAGTCCGCCCTGCAGCTGGGCCGGCCGCAGACGGACGCCGAGGGCCGCAAGCAGACGCTGCTCGTGAGCGTGCAGCCCTTCGGCAAGCCCGCGGCCACGACCACCGCGCCGGCCTCGACGCCGGCAGCGGCGGTGTCCACTGCACCGGCGCCCGCCCAGCCCGAGCATGTCACCAAGATCCCCGTGGCGACGCCGCCCTCGTCCGCGGCGTGCAACGGCGTCGTGCTCAAGTCCATCGTCCACACCGGCGAGGACGCCCCCTCCCCCTCCCCACCACCCGCCACCAAAGTGCCATCCGGAGACGCGACGCCCGCAGCCGCCCCGACCCCCGACCCTGCCCCTGCCCGCCCTGCCCCCACTTTGCTCAAACTGAACGATGCTCAAACCGGAAAGCACGCGGTCACCGCCTCAACGCCTGCGCCGCTCAGCTCCAAGCACATGTTCCTCAAGTCCTTCGTGGAGCCGGCGGAGGCACCGACCGTCTGCGTCAGCGCTGCCACCATCCAGGACAGCGCCGCCAAGACCACGGCCAGCTCGCCCTCCCCCACTGCCAGCCCCGCTCGGTCGTCCCCGGCCAGCGCGGTCAAGACCTCCCCAACCAATCCAGTCAAGGCCACCCCCGCCATCCCAGCCAAGACCACCCCGGCCAGCCCAGTCAAAACCACCCCGGCCACCATCGTCAAGTCTTCCCCAACCAGCCAGATCAAGACTGCACCGGCCAGCCCGGCCAAAACCTCTCCAGCGGCCAAGACCACCCCGACGATGACCTCCACGACGACGGTGACGGGTGGCAGCACGGCGCGGCGCGAGGGCAAGCGCACCCACATCACGAGGGGCACGCCCATCTCCAAGAACAACGAGATGCTGCTCAAGACCAAGTTCATCCCGCTGAGGACCTCCACCATCATCAACAATAACAACAACAAGAGGAACTCGGAGGACTCCAAGCTGCGCGGCGACCCCGTCATGCTGATCGAGGCCAAACAGCTGGACTCCTCTGACGAGGACGAGCGGCCCTACAGCAACGTGCAGGTAAGATGTACTCTACATAATTTTAAAGAAATTAAAATTTAAAGTCATGGACAACATAGGAGACCAATCTTCATACCCAGTACGAGGTCTCAGTAACGCACGGATGAGTCATTTCTATTTGTCCCTCTCGCCGCGTATTCGAGATACGGCTGCGGGATGAGGAATGTCATCAAGCACTCGCGGTCACCGTCTGGTCTCGTCTCTGTCCGCAGGTGCAGTCGCACAAGAACTTGGATGATGCCCCCGGCGCGCAGACCAAGCGGTTGGCCTCGCTGCTGGCCCCTCTGGGGGTAGCCGACGTGTCGGTGGGGTCGCGAGAGCTGGCCGGGGAGCCGGACGGGCGCGCGGACCCGGACTCGTCGTCAGAGTCCGGCAGCGAGCCGCCCGCGCTGCCGCAGAGCCCGCCCCCCGCCGTGGACCCGCGCCCCTCGTTCCTGCACGGCCTGACGGCCCGCCTCGCCGCCAACAACAACGCGGCCACCATCACGGCCTCGGCCACCGCGGGCAGCCCCGCCGCCGAGAAGCCGCGCGTGCCGTTCAAGTCCAGCACGGTCGTGCAGGCCGCCACCGCGCAGCAGCTGCACCAGCAGCGGTGGTCGCAGGTCATCTCCACGCAGCCCAAGACAGTCACCGCCGTGGAACCGCCGCAGGTACGCTCACGCAAACTTGAGATGCCATTGCATAGGGCCTATTTCGGGTGTGGAGATTTGAATGTGCTTTCCATGTCCGCCAGGCGCCGAGCTGCAGCCCGCCCTGCACTCCGGACGACACGCCCGCCAGCTCCGCGTCCAGCTCCCCGCTGTGCTCCCCGCACGGCACGCCCCCCGCCGACGGCTGCAGCCGCCAGAAGCGGCAGGCGCCGCAGCCGCCGCAGGAGCAGCCCTCGTCGCCCGTGGTGCTGTACGCCGCCACCCCGGTGTCCGCGTCGTCCTCCCCCGCCAAGGACGCCGTGACCGCGCCGCCGATGCGGCCTGCACTCGGCCGCTCCGCGTCCACGGCTTCCTCCACGTCGTCGTCGTCGTCGCCCTCGCCCTCGGCGTCGCCGCCGTCCCCGGTGCTGACGTACCACCGCAAGGCGTCGGTGCCCGCGGCGTCGCCAGTGTCGCGGCAGAAGGACAAGGACAAGCGGCGCAGCAGCCAGCACCTCCTGGTGGCGCCGCTGCCCCCGCTGGCGCCGACGCGGTCCGAGTCCGTGCCCTCTGCGCTGGGGCAGGTGGCGCTGGGCCACTCGGTGACGCTGGGCGCGCACTCGGGCCACTCCATCGCCCAGGCGCTGGCGCAGGCCAACTCGTTCGTGTCCATGTCCCCCAACGCGGGGCAGGGGCAGCCCCAGCCGTCGCCTCGCCGCGCGCTGTCCATGTCCACGGACTCGTTGAGCGGGGGCCTCTCGCCCACCAAGCACCGTGAGTACATCGACACGAATCAAGTTAGACGCACAACGAGCACGCCGTAGCCTAACCGTGCCCTCTGTCCGCAGCCATGATGTACGACACGGAGCGCAAGAAGCCCGGCACCAAGGTCCGCTTCTCGCTGCGCAAGTTCCTGGGGTTGTCCAAGGACGGCGGCAGCCTCCGCGGCGACGGTGGCCCCGGCTCCGGCTTCGCGGACGGCGGCCTGTCCAGCCTGGGCAGCTCGCCCGACCCGCTGGCGCCCCCGCAGCCCCGGCCGCGGCCCCGCCTGGAGATCATCCACCCGTCCGACCTGAGCGGACGGGGCGTCGAGGTGCTCCGGGCGTCCGGCGTCGAGGTGCGCCGTCAGATGCAGGAGCAGGCGGCGCAGGCCGCGCAGGCCGCCGCCGTCGCCGCGCCGCTGCGCCGCAACTCGGACGCCGCGTCCGTCGTGGACGGCGCCGGGCTGTCGGCCGGCTCGGACTACTCGGGTGACAACGGCGTGAAAGGTAAGCGACCGCGACCAGGCTGCTCCTGGACTCTAGCAATGTGAACTCCCCCGTCGCCAACATAGTGTGGTTTCTCGCAGGTCGGCCGACTAAACCCCCGCCACCACCGCGGTCGCAATCCCTCGAGAACGACGTGACCGTCAGCCCCAGCAGGCCAAGCAGGCCGCCTCCGCCAAAGTCCGCGCACGTGGACCTGCTCATGCGGAGGCACTCGCCGTCGGCCGCCCCTTCGCCCGCACCCAGCACCGCGCCGGGGCACTCCGTGTACGCCAACATCGGTAAGGCGCGTCTCGCTCTGCTCATTTTCGAACCAAGTTTGTGAGAGTCTAACGTCGAGTGCTGTTCCAGCCCCCGCCGCAGAAGCGCTGGCGCGCTCCAGCGTGGCCCCGACCAAGCCCCAGCGCACGGGCAGCGTGCGGGACGCGACGGGCGACAGCCCGCGGCGCACCCCCAGCGCCAACCCCGGCAGCGCCGGCAGCAACGCGGACCCCGTCAAGCAGGAAGCGGCGACGCGGTCCTGCAGCCTGTCGTCGCAGCCGGAGGACAGCGGCTACGAGTCGGTGGAGCTGAGTGACTCGACGCAGCCACAGTCCATGGTGAGTGGGTCACAGCCTCACAGCTGAAAGCTGAAAAGATTGGTCTCTGACGCGTCCTTTCGAAACGACCAATCTTACCGGAACCCTTTGCTTTGTTTCAGACTGACAGCGAGAACGTGTACGAGTGCGTCAACAGCACCGGGGAGAGGTCCAGCTCCCCGGAGTGCGACTCGAAGAACTCCGGCGTGGCGGCCGGCGAGGGCGGCGTGGGCGTCGGCATGGCGGGCACCACGCTGAGGGCGGGGAGCAGCAGCGGCGCCGCGGACAGGCCGACGTCCTCGTCGACGCACTACTGCGGCAGCGAGACCGAGTCCGACATCTACTCGCCGTACAGCTTTTACGGCGGCAGCGACGAGGTGGGTGGACGTCGTTGTCCGTCGCTGGGAGCGTAGCCTAGGGTGTCCGTCGTCTACATGGCGCTGTCTGTGTCTGTTGCAGGGAGACGAAGGCGAGGCCGACTCGGCCTGGAAGTGGCGCAGCCGGGCGCGGAAGGGGCGCAGCGTGGTGCACAAGAGCATGGAGGACAACTACGACGCCGTCGTGGGCGCCAACCTGGAAGCCCTGGCGCAGCTGTTCGAGCAGGTACGCGACCCCTCAGCATCCCGTTTTCTTTCAGCTTGATCCCTGAACTTGATCTGCAATAATTGATGCTGACGGTGTGCTCGCCGGCAGATTCGCACTGGCCCCACCGTGCCCTCGGCGCTGAGGCCCCTCAAGACGTCGTCCGCCCTCAACTGGTGCGACTTCTCCGTGACGCCGTCGACGCAGTCCCAGCCCGCGCCGGTGGTGGCGGGCCGCTGGGTGTTCCTGTCTGCGCAGTGGGACGGCCACCCCGTGACCGTGGGCGTGCTCCCCGACGGCAGCGCGGGCTGTGCCAAGGCGTGGCGTGGCGGCGGCAGGGGCGCCTTCCCCTTCGCGCTGATGCCCATCACCGAGTTCTGCGACCGCGTGCCCGCCTCCTGCCTGCCGGCCGCGGCCGCGCGCACCTCCGGCACTCAGCTGGAAGGTAGGCACAGCGCACCTCCTGGGTGACCTGTTGGTTACGTTCTCGAAGCGTCACCTCACTGTCTTTTCCCTTGTCCCAGCGCTCGTCGCCGTGCTGGCTAGGGCTCGCGTCGACACTCTGGCGTCGTACGGCTCCTGGCTGCGGGCTGGGACCGGGGCGGTGGACTCCGACGAGGACGCGGCCTGGCGCGAGGCGGGGCTGGCGCTGCTGCAGCTGCTGAACGCGCTGCTGGCGCTGCAGGCCCTGCGCCAGGACCAGGCCGTGCACCCCGACAGCGTGGTGTTCCTCCGGGACCCGGGGCAGGCCGCGGCGCAGAGCCACGACGAGCACCACGACAGCACGCCGCAGCTGGCACTCCTGCACGGCATGGGCACCACGGCATCCACGGTGAGTGCATCCATCCGGAAATGAGTGCAAGCTTAAATTTTCCTAAGTTTCGAATCCTAGAGTTGACCGCGCCCTTGTTTGCCTCCTCCAGGACGCCGACGTTACCCGGTCACTGTGCGCGTGCGCCTTGGCGGGTGTCCGCGCGCTGCTGCCGGGCGCTCCGCCCTCGCCACTGCTGTGCTCGCTGCTCGAGGCCAAGGTGTCCGAGGACGAGGCCGAGCCGTCGGCGGCGTCCGAGGCCGAGCAGGGCGGGCTGTCCCGCGCCAAGGCCGTGCTGGAGTACTGGCTGTGGGGGCCGGCCGAGGCCGTGTCCTCGCTGGCCGCCCTGCAGCGCTGGCTGGACCTGGAGCGCGCCACGGTGCTGCACAGGTTGGTGTGCGCGCGCGCCGCGGCGGGGCCGCACCACCGCCTGGCCATCCAGCAGCAGAGCCACCTGCTGTTCCTGGTGCACACCTCGGCGGCCACCATGTGCGACGCGTCGCGCCTGCTGGAGTCGGCGCGCGTGTCCCCGCTCGAGACCACGACCTGAAGGGCCTGGAGTGGCAAGCGTCATCGCCTGGAGGCTGCCAACGTTCACCCTGCCCGATGAACGCCACTAGAAGCCACAACAGACTGCGGACCCTTAAGATGTGAGTCGAACCCGTGATTGTGTTGTCATCGTAATGTGCAAACTACCGTCCGCTACCGTCCCTCGTTGTATCTGCATCAGCGTGTAATTTTCCGTTTGTATGTTTGGCAAAATGCCCGTAATTTTCTCATTGACAAGACAAAGTACTGAATCGTCGAAGAACACACATGACTACTTGACTGCCAGGTTTTGTGCTCGGCCTAGTTTCGAACACACGGTAACATGGAACTTCTCGTTGGTGTCTTGACAAAATGCAACTGTGTGTTTTTCCTTTAGAACAAAAACAGGGTATATAGAAATATTTGAAAGACCTCACCATATGCGTATGCAGTCAACAGAATTAAATATAGTAAGATTAATATCCTAGACTAAAGTTGTGTATGCCCAGTGTTTATTATGCGATGTTGGAATGTTACTGATTCTTTAAATGTGACTTGTTTATTTATTATTTTGAACATATTGTGTAACAATGTCCGTATGTGGGAACGGCATGTGATGATCTTTAAAGTAATTGTTGCTGAATGAAAGGGGTGTACTATGAGTTTAGTATGTTATAACAATCTCAATGTCCCTCCCCTCCCCTATTTTATTCCCTGTTTGTATATTGTCTCCCTTTTCTTATAAATAAATCATGATGAAATCTCAGATATTTTTAGTTTGGAACCATCACACCTCTGTGACTGAGCAAATAAAAACAAGCCAGATTCTAATCGGAAGAAATCATCTTTAATTTTTTAAAGTTTGAAATATAAATAACACAGCATTTACGAAGCTCCTTCCTCGGTTGTTTATAGTCTTAATCAGTCAGCACGCAAGATGCGTTAATCTAAAGTAACGGCAATACATAACAAAACTTTACAGCAACAGATAACATTTCTATGCCAACCGAATCGTGGGGCATATCATTATACAGTCTATCAGGCAGAGGCACAACAACTTAATTCACAACAAAACAAGTCGTCCGGACAGTGTGTCCGGCGGGAGGGAGGGTCGTTTGGACGGTGGCTTCTCCGCTTGGCGCGAGTCGGGCTGCAGGTGGAGTCACTGGACCGTCTCGGGGGACTGCGGCGGCGACTGGGGCTCCAGCTTGAGGAGGCTGTTGGCGTTGGCCAGCGCCGCCAGGCTGGGCGGGGGGCTGCCCTTGGGGCTTCCCTTGGGCGTGCCTTTGGGGCTCTTGGACTCGGCCAGGATGGCGGCCGACATGGACAGGGCGGGGTTGGCCACGGCGATGATGTCGGCGCCTCTGGAGGCGATCACCTGCAACACGAGGAGCGAAGAAGGTCAGCGGGAACTTCTTCCGAAACTTGAGGGCGGCTGGAACGGTCGTACCTGCACTTTGCTCTCTCTGTAGAAACTGTCAGTGTACGGTGAAACGCCATTCGCCACCATGGTGGCGTCCAGCAGACCGTCCTGCGGACAACCGGTCAATTCGATTCAATGGCATTGCTTGGTATTCACACGCAGCTGAAACGGGTCGAAACCACTGACGGACGCATCGAACCTCACCTGCCCACCTCCTTTCCCAGGACTCCTGGATCCTCTCTCCCGTTCCGCTGTTTCCGAATCTCGGGAGTCGGTGACCTCCTGCAAAGACGACCCGATTAAATCACGGCTGGACACACGTCTCTTGGACGAATTTGAAAAGTGGACGGACCTGGGACGGTGAGCTCGCATTGCTGAAGGACATCTGGGAGTCGTCGTCGGTGTCGCCGCGCTCCGAGTCCATCGTCAGGGAGGACGACCGCACCCTGGACGTCCGCCGGTACCTGCGCGCCGCGGGAACAGATCAGTATGGCAGGCGGCCTCAGAGGGGCAGTGGAAGTGGAACGAGACGGCCTGCCGGCCTGGGCGCACCTCGGATGCAGCGTCTGTCGCAGCAGCTCGGCCTGCTCGGCCTGCAGCGCCATCTGCCGGGCCTGCAGCGCGTCGCGCACCGCGTGCAGCGCCACCACGTCGTGCAGGCCGTCGTGCACGCCGTCGGCCAGCAGGTCGTCGTGCCGCTCGGCCAGGGCGCGCAGCTCCTCGGACACAGCCTCCAGGCGCTCCTGCAACGGGCGCGGGTTCAAGGCTCGGTCGGCGCGGGTTTTCCGAGCGCGGGTAGGCGACCCGCTCGCCCCGTGCGCGCCACGGGTTGCCTACCCGCTCGACCGCAGGGGCTCGTGGCGCCTGTGAAGTCGGGATAGGCAACCCTGGCGCAGGCGTGTTCGACGGGTCGGCCCACCCTCGCCGCGGCAGGCGTTCCGGCGGGATGCACGCCGTTCTCGCCCGTCGTGTTCAAGTTGGGGAAAGCGCGGCTGCAATACTCCGGCTCAAAAAAATAATCAATACTGCACCGTGAAGTGCCACTGGAACTACCGATGCACCGTCGAAACCCTTCCAGAGTCCCTACTCTGTCAAGAACGGTTGCGTAAGTACAGAAAGGGAACCAATTAAGCCAACAGAAGCAGCACCGCATGCAAACTAGGTACGGAGAGCGGCACTACACTAAAAGGGAGCTCGCCACCACCAACGGAGAGGACACCGGTTAGTAAACGAAAGTAAGTCTTGCGGAACTCCACAGTACCTGGTGGCATAATGTCAGGTTGGCACAGCCCGAGAGGGTTATTCGAAGCAGCGTGTACTACAATTCACACTGTAATAAACAAATTATAAAAGCAAAACAGAAAAAAAAGAAAACAGCAGCGCTTCGTGGTTAGGGGAAAAATGCAAGCGAGGGTTAGTAGTTGTTAGTTGTTATTTACACTTGCACAAATGAAAAAAAAATCTATAAATAAATGAAAAAGTGAAAAGGGGGTCGGGAGAGTTAATACAGGGGACGAGACACCGCAATCGAGGGGTTAAGATGACTGGACGGAATCTGACGCGGTGTGTGGGGTGATGCCTGTAAAAGCTGACTAGAAAAGTGAATAGCACAAAGCCAAAGCAGTGCGTGGTAAAACCGAGATGTCGAGGGACCGACCGGACACTCCTCAGTCTGAAGGTGATCCCACAATGAGACGGTCGGTCGCTCACGGTGCGTCGGACAGTCGATCAGTAACATCACCAACCGGTGTCTACGGCAAGAGCGTCACCCTAAGAGAGGAAGGACCTGGGTTCGATACCCAGCCCCTTCATTCTTTTCCTTCGTTACCGCTTCCCCTACGACCAGTCTGAGTTTAGGCAACTTTCGCAAGTATAACGGTGGTTCAGTGGGCAAGAGCTTCGGCCGCCACAACCAGGGTGTAGGTTCGAATCCTAAACATGCACCTATCTTTTCATCAGTTTAGCGCTTGAATTCGGTTTGATGAGTGCAACTTTCGGGGCGACTGCTTGTATGCCAGTTGGTGGCCGAGGATGCTTAGGTGTCGGACGCCACGTGAAGGGTCGGGGTTCGAATCCTCGACGCGTTTCTGTTTTCCAAGATAGCGGCTCCTCTCTGGTGCCATCAGTACGAGTTTCGGACTGCTCTGAAGAAGAGAGGTGGTGGCCGAGGGTGCTGAGGCGTCATTCTCCGTGAGAAAGGCCGGGGTTCGATTCCCGGGCGCTTCACTCTTTTCCAAGTTTGTGGCACTATACCGGTGCCATCAGTACGAGTTACGATGGTCAGGTATAAGGAAGTCGGTGGCCGAGGGTGTTAAGGTGTCGGCCACCAAGAGAGGTCTGGGTTCAACTCCCAGACGAGGCCGAATACAGGAAGGGGCCGGCATGAGAAGGACCTGGGTTCAACTCCCAGGCGAGGCCAAAATCAGGAAGGGGCCGGCATGAGAAGGTCCTGGGTTCCACTCCCGGGCGAGGCCAAATTCAGGAAGGGGCCGGCATGAGAAGGTCCTGGGTTCAACTCCCGGGTGAGGCCAAATTCAGGAAGGGGCCGGCATGAGAAGGTCCTGGGTTCAACTCCCAGGCGAGGCCAAATTCAGGAAGGGGCCGGCATTAGAGGGCTTGGGTTCAACTCCCAGGCGAGGCCAGATACAGTAAGAGGCCGTCATGAGAGGACTTGGGTTCAACTCCCAGGCGAGGCCAGTTGGCAGTGAAATCCCGGCATGAGGGGACTTGAAATCAACTCCCAGGCGAGCTATGCATGGAGAGGCCGCATGAAAGTCACTGGGTACAAACCCAGACGGAAGATGGTAAGCAATGCATGAAAAATTGAAAGTCGCTCCAGCGAGAGCTAAATACCCAGTGAGTCTCGGTCAAGTCGCATGTAAAGCGCCGGGCTTACAAGTTGGCTGACAAATCAACGAGTATTCTTCGTGATTGATTTTACCTGACGCATAGATGAGGACTGTTTTCAGAGAGCGTTGCTCTAATGGCCTCTTTGGACATGCCGACATGTCGTAATTCTTTGAAATTTGGCTATCAATAACAAAATGTTATTCGTGCTCTCCGCCTTTACTCCTGCAATTTTCTCATCTTGCTCGCCCCCCCCCTTTTTCTCGCCTGGAGAGTTGAACCAAGTCTTCATGTCTCGGTTCCCTCTGATCTGGTCCTCTGGGAGTTGAACCCAGGATCTTCTCATGCCGGCCCCTTCCTGAATTTGGCCTCGCCTGGTAATTGAACCCAGGTTCTTCTCATGCCAGTCTTTTCCTGAACCTGCCATCGCCTGGGAGTTGAATCCAAGTCCTCTCATGCCGGCTTTTTCTGCTCCTGGCCTCGCCTGGGAGTTGAACCCAGGTTTTCTCATGCCAGCCCCTTTCCCTGTTTGGGGGGCCCCCCTCGCCCCTTTGGGAGGGTTGAACCCGGGCCTTTCTATGCCGGCCCCTTCCTATTTTGGCCTCGCCTGGAGTTGAACCCGGGTCCTTCTCATGCCGCCCCTTCCTGATTCGGCCTCGTCGGGGAGTTAAACCCAGACCTCTTGGGGGCCCGGGCACCTAACACCCTCGGCCACCGACTTCCTTATACCTGACCAATCGTAACTCGTACTGATGGCACCGGTATAGTGCCACAACTTGGAAAGAGTGAAGCGCCCGGGAATCAAACCCCCGGCCTTTCTCACGGAGAATGACGCCTCAGCACCCTCGGCCACCACCTCTCTTCTTCAGCAGTCCGAAACTCGTACTGATGGCACCAGAGAGGAGCCGCTATTTTGGGAAAAACAGAAACGCGTCGAGGATTCGAACCCCGACCCTTCACGGGGCGTCCGACACCTAAACATCCTCGGCCCCCAACTGGATACAACAGTCGCCCCGAAATTGCACTCATCAAACCGAATTCAAGCGCTAAACTGATGAAAAGATAGGTGCATGTCTAGGATTCGAACCTACACCCAAGTCGTAGCGGCCGAAGCTCTTGCCCACTGAACCACCGTTGTACTTGCGATAGATGCCTAAACTCAGACTGGTCGTAGGGGAAGCGGTAACGAAGGAAAAGAATGAAGGGGCTGGGTATCGAACCCAGGTCCTTCCTCTCTTAGGGTGACGCTCTTGCCGTAGACACCGGTTGTGATGTTACTGATCGACTGTCAGCGACCGTGAGCGACCGACCGACTCATTGTGGGACCACCTTGAGTTAAAGCCAAGCGGATTCTAGCTGGACAGCAATCCGAAGATACCCCGCGCCACAGTTTCTGTCTCCGCGGGGTATCGAGGGCCAGTGGGTCGGTCGGTCTTTCGCATCTCGGGCCGCGTTTAGCCCTGTTCAGCCCCAGCCCGTGTCCCAGGCCCAGGCTAGGTGTAGACCTGTCTCCGCTGCTGCTCCGGCCGGTGGTCGCCCTCGCTGGAGTCCGGGGACGGCGACCCGCTGGGCTCCAGCTTGGGCCTCTTGTGCCCCGCCGTGAGGATGTCGTCGCTGCTGGGGCAGCGCGGCCGGTAGTAGGAGAGGCTGCAACAGCAACAGACACAGGGGCTGCGTCAGGCACCTCGTCGATACACCGTGCATCGTGCATCGCGCGTGAAGTATGCGCGGCCGGCGCGGCGTCGATACTCCACGCGCAGCGCGGCGCGCGCCGAACTGGCGTCGGATGGGTGGCCTACCCCCACGGCGGCGTGCTTCCACCGCGCGGAGCCGCCTGCCTACTGAGTTCCAACATCACTGTCGTCACTCTGTCTCTCTCGCACTCATAGAGTGCCCCGTATGGGTGCGACAGAGACAGAGCGACGAACCGCTGGCGTCAAGTTGCCGATCATCGAGTATCGAGAGGGAGAGTGACTTACTTGGTGTGGCCCTTGGAGTAGAGGTAGCCCGAGTCCCGGACCACCTGCCTGGCCAGCGGGAACAGCTCGTCGCGGCGCGTCAGCAGGGCGGGCACGAACCGGCAGATCTGGGCCGCCGCCTCGTTCACGGACACCTGCAACAGAGGGCCTGGGTTCAAACACCCGAGCGCGCTTTGGTTTTTCTCCCCGCCCTGCAGGCAGGCATGCGGGCATGCGAGCGCGGCGCGGCGTTTCACTTACAGTGGCCCTTCGGCCCTTGTGCCGCCCGGCCGGAGTTTGCCGAGCTAGAAATTATGGAGCCGACAAGAAGCCGAAGAGGAGAAGAAGCTCGGCCCATCGTAAAGGCGCTAAAGGCGGGTGCGGCTATCACAGGGCGGCGCGCTGCCGGCCAGTCGGGCCGCAATTAGCGAAGCCAATTTCACATTTCCAGTGCCGTGTCGCTCCGTCTCCCTCGCACCCCTGGTGCGTGCAGCAAGGGAGTGAGAGAGACAGAGCGCCGTTTCGGAATCCACCTGCAGCCGCCACACGACTGACCACCTCCACGACGCGCGCCTTTGAGATTTCCCCGTCGCACCGCTTTTCCCCGTTTTCCCCTCTTGTTTCTTCCCGTTTCCCCCGTTTTTCTCTGTTTTTCCCCCGAGGTCGTCCCTGGCCTGGCCCGGCCCGGCGTCGACGACGCGGACCTAGCGGCGGGCCGCGCGCAAAAAGGCGCCCGCCGTCGTTCATCGGAACACAAATTCAAGCACGCCGCGCGTCGTCCGAGGTTCGCGTCCCGGCGGGGCCGCCGCACAAAAGCCGCGCGTCGGCGTCGCGCCCCGCGGGGCGGGGGGCGTGTTGCAAGGAGAGACACGCGTCGGGCCGCGGCGTGTCCTCTAGGCGCGGCGAGGCGCGGCGGCCCACCGTGCGCGGCGACGCGGCGCGCCGGACCGCTTTATGGCTGTTTTGATATCTCTGTACCTCCCAGGCCAACCCAGGCCTCCCAGCGTCTCTTTACGGCCCATTAATAACATCGTTAAGGTGCAAGGCATCCAGCCGCCTCGTTCCGAAGGACCGCTCGTCGTCGCTATGTCTCTCTCGCACCCCGATGGGACGCCCCATGAGTGCAACAGAGACAGAGCGACCACACGGGCCCTCGGAATCAGAGGGCAGAGCCTCCCCCAGTTCGACGGCCACCCCAACGGCTGCCCTCCCAGGGGCTGTCCACCTTCGGCATGCCCACCTTCGGCATGCCCACCTTCGGCATGCCCGCCTTCGGCACGCCCTCCTTCGGCATGCCCACCTTCGGCACGCCCTCCTTCGGCATGCCTACCTTCGGCACGCCCTCCTTCGGCATGCCCACCTTCGGCATGCCCACCTTCGGCACGCCCACCTTCGGCACGCCCACCTTCGGCATGCCCACCTTCGGCATGCCCACCTTCGGCATGCCCACCTTCGGCACGCCCCCTTCGGCATGCCCCCTTCGGCACGCCCCCTGGCACGCCCCTTCGGCACGCCCTCCTTCGGCCTATGCCTTACCTTCGGCACGCCCACCTTCGGCATGCCCACCTTCGGCATGCCCACCTTCGGCATGCCCACCTTCGGCATGCCCACCTTCGGCATGCCCTCCTTCGGCACTGCCCTACCTTCGGCATGCCCACCTTCGGCACGCCCACCTTCGGCACGCCCACTTCGGCGGCCCCCACTCACCTCGTGCAGCGTGAGCGGCTTCTCGGGCTTCCGCTTGCAGTCGAAGCGGCCGTAGATGGCGGCGTACTTGCGGACCTCGTCCATGCGGCGCGGGTCGTCGTCGGACATGTTGATGACCAGCTGGAACAGAGGAGGGCGGCGTGAGCAGGGCGCGAGGCGGCGACGCGGGGAGGAATTCGCGAGGAAGGGTGGAGCAGGGGAGGAGGCAATTACAATTTCAAAATAAGAACGGAGAACGCCACCGCCACTGCGACGCGAAGGGGAGCTCGCCGCGGCGTCAGTTCTGATATTACGTAACGCCGTGGGATGCTCCGATTACGGCTTGCTAAAGCACGGGGAGTTAGTGCGGGGATCGTCGAGCTGGGGAAATCGACTAGGGCGAGGTATGGTGATCGAGCTTCTCTGTGGCAAGCACGGTGACAGTGCATACCTCCAGGTCCTTGCACACCTTCTTCTTGGTGTTATGCGGCTTGGGCTGGCACGACGGCAGCGTCCTGGACAGGTTCCTGGCCGCCTCGGCCAGCCTCTGCACCTGGGACTCCAGCAGCACCGGGGTGAGCTGCAGGCTGGGCGACGTCGACCGGGTGGACAGCGACATGGGCGTCGAGGACGGCGTCGGCGAGGACAGCGGCGGAGGCAGCGGCCGCCCGGGGCCGCCCTGGAGCGGGGACGTCGACGGCGAGACGTGGTGGTGGTAGGGGTGGTGGTGCTGGCTGTGGTGGTTGTGCTGGTGGTTGTGTTGATTGTTTGTGGAGGTGGTCGTGGTGGTGGTGGTGGAAGCACTGGAGAAGTCAGTCGGCACGCTCCCTACAGAGTTCTGCCAACAGAACAAAACAATTTTTCAGAAAATGAATTAAAAATACCAAAGCCGTTGCTCGCTCCCCACTCCACACGCGCAGGCGAAAAAAAAGCACGTATGGCGGCTAGCGCCGCCGCCGCTCCCTTGCGGCAATAAATATATGGAAGTCCCTTACAAATTTTTATATTCTCAGATGAGAAAAAGCGAGTTCTGAGAATTTGGGAAAATAATAAAACAATAACGATAAGGGAGGAGGGCGAAAGGCCGGCCGGCCGACCGCTCCCGTTTTTGCGCACGTCCCCTTCGCTTCGTTGTCTTGGCATATTTTCGGCAGCGAGGGAAAAAAAACTCCCCAAAAATAATTTAAACATCGCACGCCACGCCTGTAGCATTCCCCCGCACCTCGAAGCCTCTCCTTGGGCCGAAGACCAAAGAGGGCGGCCCGATGCCTCTGCCCACTTTATTATTTATCATTTAGTATTTCAAATTTGCCGGCCGCTGATTGGTCGATTGGCGGCGCGACTGGCGCGACGGACGACGGGGACGGGGCGTGCTCCAGAGGAGCCAGCAGTCTGCCGGGCAGTCTGCCGGGCCGGCTCCTTGCAGACACGTTCCAGAGGCTTTCTTTCTCTTACTCTTTGATGATGATCGGGGCGCCATGCAAGTCCAATCACATCTCACCACGTCAATCAGACACACGGGGAGGGGGAGGGGGGAGGGGCGTTCAGTTTTTAGAGAGACTCGAATGAAAGCGCGGCGCCGTGTCTGAGCAGGATATACATGTCTGGCATATTTTCAACTTTTTGCGCGCCAAAGTTGATTATCGGCCGTACTCCTGATTTGGACTTGACGGCGACGGCGGAGTTTCGCCACAGGTGACCAATCCAAAAGCCGCATCAACAACAAGGAAGACGACGAAGACAACAACAACAACAAAATTAGCTCGGCGGCCAGTGTCGTAATTAATACTCCGGGGACATATTCGGCGGCCATCCGAGAGTCCGGGACGGTCCGGGACGGAGCGCCGCGCTCGGAACAAAAATGCAGCCGCCTTTAGTCCTTTTAGTCCGCTTGCAGGGTTCTAATCAGGCGATCCGATTCAACCGTCAGCTGTCAACCGCTTCTTTCCCAAACATCGCAGCGCATGCACGATTTTGCCGCCACTGGCGCCGCGCGCCAATCACGAACATGCTGACAACTCGTCTCCTAAAAGTTTATCAATGTTTAAAAATTTCCGGGGCTGATTGTTATGTCTGGTTTAATTGAAAAGAGTCTTGAGAGACCGTGAGGAGCAGGTGACAAGTCCGACGGGTGCATGCAGCGATTCCCAACACTCCCCAAGCAACGCACGATATCAGGCGGCCTTTTTCACATTGCAGCAGCATGCAAGCTCGATGCAGTCATGGAGGCAGCGCGGCGCGGCGTCGCCGTCCGAGAGTCCGAGACCCGCCGCGGCCGAGGAGCCGAGGCGGCACGCCTTCGCCGCGGATGCGTTTTTGCGTTTGCCAGACACAACTAAAACCTGTTCCGTTCAATTTGAGAAAAACGCTCCCCCCCCTCTCCCTTCCCCCGTTCCGCCGCGGCTCGCGTTCTCCGCGCGGCACTTCTCGGCTCTCACGAATCGACGGGCGACGCGGCGGCAATAAAACACACCAAAAGGGAGGAATTTCGTCGCTCACGTCGCTCATTCGCGCCGCGACGGCCGCCGCGACACTGGCGCGGCGCGGACGGCCGGCGGCCTCAAAGCCTCGGAGGGCTCGCCGCGAACCGCCCCGCCCCATCCACCCCCAAGGCCGCGCCCGAGGCGCTGCTGACTCTTACCTGCGCGTGGTCCGCGGGCGAGCGGGACGGCGAGGGAGGGGTCGAGGTGGACCTGACGGTGACGGGGGACAACAGCCTGCCCAGGTGGTCCGGGGCTGGCGACGGCGCGCTGCCGGGCCCCGGACTCGAGCGGGGGCTCGGCGCCGCGGGGGCGCCGTCGCGGTGCTGGCCGTCAGGCCCGTCAGGGTGGTGACGGCCGGCGCGGGGAGCGTACCCGGGTGCGTGGTGCTCTGCGGCGCCGCACTGCAGGCGACGGGCCGCGGCACCGTCACGGGGAAGGCCGGCGTCGGCCCCAGCGGCATCTGGAACTGGGCTGCAACAGACAAGAGCGCGGGTTCAAGTACTGGCACCGGCGCGGCGACGGGACCGTTTTCGGACTCCGGCTGTCGTCCTCCTGGACTTGATGCTGATGAGGGCGTCGTCGTTGTTCGACGCGACAAAGTCTTTTGATCCTCATAAAACCTGACATGAGCAAAGAAGATAAGCAACTTTACCAACGGCTCTCCCGAACACACACACGCACTGCATCCAAACGACCACACAGATCCGAGGAGAAAAAAGCCCTGCCCGTGTGCCCCGTGTGCCTCGGCCGGTATCAAGCACACTCATCTCCGCCCCTTTTTGCCGCACCTTCCCTTTTTTGCCCTTCTTTTACTTTCCCGCGCCGAGAACCCTTTGAGGACGACTGGCCACATCTCGACACCGCCCCGCCCTGCCGCCCCGCGCCTCGTTCAAGTTCTAAGAAAGCAACGGCCGGCAGGGCTTGCTTGCTTGGCGCTCCAAACGCCGTTGGGTTTTTAATTTTTAATTTTTTTTGGTCTGTATGTACGTACACCTCCTTCAGATCAGAGCCCAATATTTTTTTGTGTCCCAGCCTCATGCATGTTTGTCCGTCTAGCTATCCCGCCCGAGGGCCGGCCCTTTGATTTGCTTTGTTCTCTTCATTATTTTCTCGACAAGTTCCAAATTGAGGTCAGGTCGACAATGAGGAAGTGTGTCGATGCACGTAACATGCATAATAGCCGACAACCTACAACAATTTTTTTTTAGACTTGACTTTGTTGTGAATTTCTTGCAGGCCGCTTTTTTTATTTTTCCCACCAAGTGACCAAGTTGACAACCTTGATCACCGTTTTTCCGATACGCCATTAAACTGCTGGTCTAAAAAATCCTAGACCGGGCTCCACCGGGCCCTGTGACGTCAAAGGATCCTCCGCGACGGCGGCACTCTCGGGCCGCTCTGCGCCGCGCGGCCCTGCGGCCCTGCCCCGCGGTGGACGCATTCCAGGGCCCCTGCAAGGCCCTGCAAGAGGGGGGAGGGAAGGCCGTTTCGCGCCAGCTGTTGTGTCCGTTTTGAATTTGCCGCGTTTTGCGCGTTTCTTTCGCCGGCTTTCCGGTTCAGCCTTACCGCACGCGTCCCGGCGGCGGCGCGGAGAGCGGCAGGGGAGAGGGGGGGGGGCGACGCTCAGACCACTTTTTCGCAAAGTGTCTGGGCAGGCCGTAGCCGCGGTAGCCGCCCCGACGCGTCGCCGTCGCAGCGTGCCCGCCAGTACTCGGCCGGCGCAGCCCCGCCGTACCCGCCGCACCCGCCCCGCCCCGCCACCCCGCCACGCCCCGCCACGCCCCGCCACGCCCCGCCGCCCCCCGCCGCACCTTGCCGAATTTGCACCACCGTCCCGGGAGAGCAGAGCAGTCCGCGCACAGCGTCAATGACAATAACATTATCAGTCCGATCGCGTCTCCCCTCGGCCCCCGGCCTCTGCATGGCTGTCTGGCTGTCGCGTGCTGCGCCTGCACAAGCAAAGCAGCATCTAGGTCTGCCTCACTCGCTCCCCATCGGACTGCGGACTTGGAGAGGTAAGGGCGGCGGACTCCTCCGTCTTCGGGATGATCATGACAATGGAGGGGTCGTGTGCCGAGTGTGGCTGCCGCGCCTCGGCCGCGCCGCCGGATTCCGAAAGGTAGTTTCGTCGCTCTGTCTCTCTCGCACTCATGGGGCGGTCCGGAGGCGTGCGAGAGAGGCCGAGCGGTGGAACGATCCCGGCGGGCGGCTGCTGCTGCGGGTCGCGGGTCCGGAGGGTCGGCCTCGTCCTCCGTCTCGGGGAGCAGGGCCTCGCGCACACCGAGACCGACTCACACAGACACACACAGACACACACCGACACACACCGCCAAGAGGGAGGACTGCCCAGGTAGGCGAGTAGGAGCAAACATAGGGGAAGCGGATAACGCGAATCAATCAAGAAGAAATGCAGGAAGAGGCCCGGCCGGTGGCGCGGGAAGGCAATGGCGCGGATAATTGGCAATCGGCGCATCATCGTCGCCAAGAACAACAACGGCGCAAGTGTGGCGGGGAGCCGCGGGGATACACGGCGAACCCGCGGAGATGGAGTGCCAGTGTGGGGACTGTCCAAAACACGCCGCAAGAATGGTATCACCGCGTCACGCTGCAGACCGTCTCTCTCTCTCTCTCTCTCTCTCTCTCTCTCTCTCTCTCTCTCTCTCTCTCTCTCTCTCTCTCTCTCTCTCTCTCTCTCTCGCACTCACACGACGTCCCATGCGGGTGGGAGAGAGACAGACAGCACCACTCTGCTGCTGCCCGACGAGAGCGTGATGGACGATGTGTGCTTTACCTTGCACAAAACGGGCAAAGGCGTTCGGTTCGGTCGTTGTGTCGCAAGGTGTCGTTGAGGCGGCTTTTAAAAAGCGCCGTGAAATGCGCGTCGGCTCGGATTTCGTTATTTCGCGATGATGACGCGGTGTGCGTGCCGCGGGGTTTGTAGAGAGGGGTGCAGGGCGGTCGGGACGGACGGACGGACGGACGCGGAGCACGACAAGGTGCCACCGGCTTGTTATCCAACGCCTGAATGTCGGAGCGAGGTGTAGGAAATCACACTTCCCGTGACAAACAAACAGGACCAACGACCAGTTTTAGAAAAACGCTTCTAAGACCTTTGTCCGTGCATTTTTTCCTAATTGTTTTTTCAACCCGCCCTAGAACCGAATGGGACGCACGCTGTGTGCAGCGCCGCGCGTGGCCGGCAGGCCTGCTGCTCTTGCTGCCGCGTTCGCCTGGAGGTGGCTAGGCGGCGAAAAAACACACCTCAAACAACACAACTTAAATTCTTGGCTAAAAGCTACGGTGCCCTGGCGGGGCCGCGGCGGGGCCCTGGCGGCGAGGCGCGGTGCGGCCCGCGGGCAAAAACGCGCCGGTCGAGACGGAGACGGCAGTACAGAAGGGACGGACACTGCGCGGCGCTGCGGGGCCGCGCGGGCCGAGGCGGAAAAAAGGGGCCGAGGGCAATATCTCTCCTGCGCCGCCGCGCCGCGCCACGCCGCGCCACGCCTCGGCGGGGGGAGGACAAAATGAAGAAGGGAAAGAAGTGAGTGGCAGCGAGGGCGAAAGGGAAAAAGGGAAAAAAGGACAACCGGATACGGATATATCTCGGCGTACAGTCGTTTGCATAAGCCCTTACTTCTTCGGGCGGCGAGCCCAGGAAAAAGAGGCGCAAATTATGACTGCGGATTGTGTTTCAAGGAAGTTTTGGCTCTTTAGCGACCTCCTGCAGCGCCGTGTGCAGCACCTCGCCCCGACCCTGCGCGTCAGGAAAGCGGGGCGGATCTCGAATCCCGCGGTTGGTTTTTCCCGGAGATGTATCCTAATTTATTTCGTTCCTTGCGTTTGACTTGTAGCGGGCCCTCACCAAGAACTCGCGCGTCGAGGAGAAGAAGAACAGCATGAAGAAGCAGCAGCAGAGAGAGAGGGGAAGGCGGGAGGGAAGGACACGAGGGCAAAGGCAAGCAAAAAACGGCAAGACGGTGCGGCGCGGCGTGTCTTCGAAAAACCGCGGAAAAAAGCGCGCGCCCGACCACGGCGCTCTACTGCGCTCTACGCCGCTCGCTGTGACGTCAGCAGTTTATAGGCCCGCCAGCTCGCCAGCCAGCAAGCACATAATGGCGACGAAAAAATTGTCAGTCCCCCTCCCCCTCCCCCTTCCCCTGGCGGCCCCCGCCTGGAAAAAAGGTGAGTATTCCAAGTTGGTCCATTTTTTCCTGCCCCCGCGCCTTCTTTCTTCATCGCGGCGCCTCGACTCGACGGCCGAGCCCCGCCAAGCCAGCCTGCCAGCCCGGCCGGCCCGGCGCCGCGTGGCAAGGCGGCAAGCCAGCCAGCCAGCCTCGGCGCCAAGGACATGAGCGCTTTACAGTGCCTCCGAGGAGATCGTCGCGGCCGTGGTGAACAAGTCCGAGGGAGATGATGAGTCAGTCGAACTCATCTGCGGCCGCGTCGCGCCGCCCGCCCCGCCACCGCGCCACCCACCCCCACCGCCCCCGAGCTCGACAAGAAGTGTGGCATGCAGAAAAATAAAAGTGCTCCTTTTTTAATGCCCGCACCCCTTTGGCGATGGCGTCGTCGTCGCGGCGCGCTGCAGGCCGGGGGAGGGGGGGGAGGGGGAGGGGGGGGGGGAGGAGGGGAGGGGAGGGGAGGGTTATGCAGCGCGCCGCGACGCGCCGCCGGGCCGCCGGAAGGGAGCATGAAGGGAGCGAGCGGCGAGAGGGACTCCTTGTTGTAGGGGAGCGGCGCGGCGCGGGGCGGGGCGGGGAGGCGAGAGTAAGAATCGAGGGAAAGGGTTTCGCGGCAATGAAATCATATCAAAACGTTCCAGTCCAAAGAGCCTCTCCAAGGCCTCCCCTATCCGCCTCCGCCTCCCTCCTTCCCCGCCGCTTCCCCGCCCCTCCCCGTCCCCGGGGGCGATAAACCTTTCGTCATGTTACACCCCCACCCCCGCCGTGCTTCATGGCGCCGTTCGTTAGGGCGCCTCGAATTCGGATTCACATTGGGATTCGCATTTTGAGATTGGCATTGGGGTTCGCTCCCCAGCGTGCCAGTGCGGCTCCAGAACTGACCTGGGTTGTTGAACCACTCCTGCAGGGCCTTCTGCAGCCTCCGCACGTGCAGCGGCTTGCTGGCCATGCCCACCAGGGCCATGATCTCCAGGAACTCCTCCTCGCCGGCCTCGCACAGCTGCTGGACGTCGTCACCGCCTGCGGACACAAACCACGGGGTTTCCAGGTTGGCGCGGGTTCGAAAACCACCAAACCCATTTGGGCGCGTTTTCGTGTCGCTTCTTTGTACTCACCCATTTCGAGCAGCGTGTCGTAGTAGGCCAGCAGGCTGGCCCTCTGCATGACCCGGTAGAGCTGCAGCTCGGCCTCGTTGCTGGGCACGGACGTCATGACCACTGCAAGCACAAGGGCACCGGGTGAGCAGGCGGACGACGGACAGGACGGCGGGCACGAGGACGGACGCGGCCAAGACGGGCGCGGCCAGCGCGCGGGGAGTCAGGAAAAAGGGGCAATTGGCAAAAAGGGGCGGCGAAAATAAAAAAGCGGGGCGGACATGGGGGTGAAATAGCACCAGCGGCAAAAACAGAGGGGGCAGAAGCCGGGCAGAAGAACAAGCAAGGCAGGAAGGCCGGCGGAGCGGCGGAGCCGGGCAGCCAATAATGGCGAAATGACCGTCCGTATGCCCGCCAACGCCGTGCTAACGCCAACGGCTGCCAAAGGGATGCTAACGCACTGCCAAAGGGCTGTCAAGAGGCTGCATGCACCCGGAGGGAAGGGCCTCGAATCGAGGGCAGCCTTTCCCAATTCAGAACGCCCCACGGTAGGGCTGCCAAAGGGCTGCCAAAGGGATGCCAAACGCACTGCCAAAGGGCTGTCAATTGACAGCTCTTAGGAGGCTGCATGCACCCCGAGGGAAGGGCCTCGAATCGAGGGCAGCCTTTCCCAATGCAGAACGCCCCACGGTAGGGCTGCCAAAGGGCTGCCAAAGGGATGCCAACGCACTGCCAAAGGGCAGTCGAGAGGCTGCATGCGCCCCGAGGAAAGGGCCTCGAATCGGGGTCAGCCTTTCCCAATGCAGAACGCCCCACGGTAGGGCTGCCAAAGGGCTGCCAAAGGGATGCCACCGCACTGCCAAAGGGCTGTCAAGAGGCTGCATGCGCCCCGAGGGAAGGGCCTCGAATCGAGGGCAGCCTTTCCCAATGCAGAACGCCCCACGGTGGGCTGCCAAAGGGCTGCCAAAGGGATGCCAACGCACTGCCAAAGGGCTGTCGAGAGGCTGCATGCGCCCCGGGAAGGGCCTTGAATCGAGGGCAGCCTTTCCCAATGCAGAACACCCCACCGTAGGGCCGCCGGGCCCTCGGCTTTGCCCTCGGCCGCTATGCTGCTGCGTTGGCGTAAAACCTGGCCAGGCAGTCGAGGCAGCATTATCCGCCCTCTAGCATCGAGCCGGGAAAAAAAATAAGCGGCATCGGACGACGGGGAGGAATAAAAAATGGCGGGAAAGTTCGGTTTGCTCTTTCTATTCGTGTGTGGCGGCGGCAATGCTGCGCTTGCTCGGCTTCCTCGGAGTGGGCGGCGGAGGGCGCATCCAGTAGTTGTCATAACTTTGGCGGGGCAGTGCGGCTGGTATTATCCGCGTCCCCGCCCCGCCCCGCCCTGCCCTGCCCCACCCCGCCCTGGTCAAGACAACGACGCCGCTGTCGACGGCGTCGGTAGTAACCTCCCCCAACGGCAGCAATGAAACCAAGACAAAATAGAGGGCGGTAAGAAGACCAAGAGGACCAAGAAGGCGCACGGGGCGGCGGCAGGCGAGGCAGCAGCAGAAGAAAGCACCCCGACCCGCGCTCTATTTCGTCCCCGGACCCCGCAGCCCGCCCCCCGCACCCCGGCCGCCCGGAGCCCGGACCGCTACCGCTCCGGACCCATAAAACGGAGTGATATGGCGCGGAAGGCTTTGGCAACACGGAGCGTCGCGACAATGTCCCGGGACGGGTTACAGTGTTACAGCGGAGGGGAGGTCCAGGGCGGGCGCCGTCTTGGGCGCCGTCGCCGAGGTGCAGGTGCGACAGTCTTGCCGCACTTCTCGAGCGAACAGCGGTGGAAGGGCCGGATCGAAGGCGTGTGGGCGTGGAGCCGGAAAATTTACGCGTCTACAGAGTGGCGCGGGTATGCGTGCCAAGAGTTTGTCGGACACAGTGGTGGCCGCCACTGCCGCCCAGCAGCCCCTGAGTCCCCCCGGCCCAGCCTGACGGAGCACGGAGGCGCTCCGCCCCGCCCGCCCCGCCAGCCCCGCCCGCTCGCCAGCGAAAGATGGCTTCAATTTGCTTTGACAAAAAGCCCCCGCACGGCGGCTGCGAGGCGGCGCGCACGGCGCGGGCGGCGGGCGGGCGGGGCTGGGGCGGGGTCCTGGGGCGGGGCAGCGGGGCGGGGGGGGGGGTCCGGCGGGGTTGGGGGCGGGGCGCAAGGGGACAGCGCACGGCGCGCGGCCCTCGCGTTTTTGGTCGCCGGGGTTCTCGTAACCCCCTGTACTTTTTGCAGCCGCTGCTGCCGCTTCGTGTGGCGCGGACCCTGCAGGGCGGGCCCCCCCCCCCCCCCTCCCCCTCCCCTCCCCTCCCCCTCCCCCTCCCCCTCCCTCCAACTGGATGTAAAACGCGATGCGGAGCGACCGGCCGGCGCCCGAGGACGTCCGAAGCGTTCTCAAAAAAGGAGGAGATGCTAAAAAAACAAATTCGAATACACCGAAACGACGGGCGCTGGTGGCGGTTTGCGTTCCTGGCCACCGTCGTCGTCGTGTCGTCCGCACCGGCGGCGTCGATGCCGTTCATCAGGCACGCCGCACTCATAACTCCGGCACTGCACTTGCAGGCTCGCTTGCAGCAGACTCTCCCCGCCGGGCTGGCCACCCATTGTCCAGGCCAACTTCCGTAATGCGCCGATATTTCTTCCCGCGCAATCGTCTGCAGAGCGGCCCGACCCGCCACCCGCCCCACCCCACCCCGCGCCGCTCTGCCACCACCCCCGCCCTCGCCCGGAGACGTCGACATCGAGCGCGTCACCAGCCCCGATTCTATCCGCCGCACACACACTCACAGTTACACACACATACAGACACACAAAGGCGGAGTAATTTTAGCCGAATATATAAAATAAAAGCGGAAGGACTCGCTGGGTGGCAAAAAGCGGAGCAGGACTCTGGCGCGCAAGAAACGCGCGCCGCCACGGACGCGGCAACGCCAGGCAACGCGGCAGTCGTCGGGGAAAGCCAAAAGCAGAAGCGGCGGAGGGGAGGGAAAGGCGGGAAGAAGGAGGGCAAACGCACTGCTAAAAGCAGCCCTTCGCCGCGGCGGCCTGCCTGGGCCTGCGAGCACGGTTACCGTTGGCGGCTCGAGTTTCAAGCATTGAACAGAGGAAAAAGGGGTGGAGGGGGTCGCAACATACTAGATGCTCGGTATCCGGGACTCACTCCAGCGGACTCAGTATCCAGGGGACTCAGTATCCAGGGGACTCAGTATCCAGGGGACTCAGTATCCAGGGGACTCAGTATCCAGCGGACTCAGTATCCAGCGGACTCAGTATCCAGCGGACTCAGTATCCAAGGAACTCAGTGTTCAGGAGACTGGGGGGGGGGGGGGGGGGGGGGCAGCATGGCCATCTTCAGCGCCGATGGCCGAGGAACGCCGAGCGCAGGACCCGCAACGGCCTCGCGTCACCCCGCTGCCGAGCTGACTGAAAAAGTTGTGAGGAAGCAGGAAGAGATGATGTTTAGGACACACATCGCACCTGAAGGACCCGAAGGGACAAACACACCATCCGCGGCACTGCCGGTGGACAGACCTGTGTGTGCCCACTGCTTTTTACGTCCGGTCGCGCCTCCGCGCGTTTTTCAGCCTCTTCCTGTCGAGAGAGCGCGACGTGGTGGACAGGACCGGGCTGCGTGTGAGTGTGTGAGAGAGCGCATCGCAAGAAAGACCTACCCCTTCACACACACGCACGCACTTTTTCCACTCCTCCCTTTCTCGTCCACCCACCCATGTTTATCCTCGGATCAAACACACGGTGAGGTCCTATCTCTCAATCGCCGAAGGTGTGGGGGCGGGGGTCGCCCTCCGCGGGGCCGCCCCCGGGGGCAACGGCCGACGACCCCGCCCCTACCGTGCGACGAAGTGTCGCTAAGGTGTGGGAGTGTGGGGGAGGGGGCGCACTGCCCTCTGCTCTGGTCCGGCAGCTTCACTGGAGACCGGAAACCCGTACGCTGTCCAGCTGTCCATAGGGACAGTAGCAACAGTAAAAACAAAGCGCTGCTTCCAACAACAACAACAATCTCATGAACGGCTGTAACAACATTCAATAATCTGTTTTAATTTTTTTTCTATTTTTTTTTCGATACGAAATCAGAGTGAATGTGGGGGCGCGCCCTTCCTGGTTCAACAGGTGACGGTCTGATGGGGTCATTTCCGGGTGCATCAGGCCCACCAGGCTGCTGGCGCGGCGCAGTGTGGCCCACGCACCCCATGAGGGAAGAGGTGATTGAGAAATCTGAATATAAAACTGGAATGAGCTCCTGACGACTTTAACTCGTAGTTGCGACGAAATTATACCCCCTTGAACGGCCGTTAGAAAATTATGAAGTCACCGCGAACTCTGGTGCAGATTCGGGAACTATCCATCGGCTCGACTGAGCAGTGGAAAGGGGTAGTAACTCCCATTTCTAAAGAATTTTCCAAATCGATTTCTGCAATATCTGGCGACGTTGGGGACTGCTTCCGCGACATTGTAAGGCGTGGTGCGGGACGGCCTGCTTTGCGTGCGTCCGAGTGCCACCGGAGCGCGTGGAGCGGTGTGGAAGTGAAACGGACGGCGCGCCCCGCTGTGCCTCTGGCTGTACCGATCCACGCCGTCGCCTTGCTCCCCATTAGGCTGTCCATCCTGTGTCCGCGGCACTTTTCAATGAGTTGGCGGGGCGGGGTGGGGTGGGCCGGCCGGGCAGCGGCGCAACCCTTTACCATCTGTCCTTGGGTTCACGCGGCCAGGCCGCGGCCAGGCCAGGGCCAGGCCAGGGGGCTGCCGCCAGGGCAGCCTGACCAACTGGGCCATCTGGGCAGCGGCTGGACAAAAACAAGGAAGTGAAGGGCCAAGCGCCCAGCCCAGCCCTTAAACAAAAGTAGAATAGTATCGAAAAAAAAAAAAGGATTAACATGCGTGCGGGAGGAGCGCCCACGCAACCAAAAACTGTTGTCTGACCAGAGAATGAGTACACTGCCGGAATCGACGTGAGGGAGGCCGACGGCGCGCGATCGCAGCTGCCGTTGGCTTTGGATCGAAGTGACCGTCGCCGTGAACATGTTCAGAGGAACGCTCCCAGTGCTCGTGCGCCATGGCGAGCAGCTGTCGCACA